TGGGATCTGCCCCTTTAGGCAGCCCTAAAGGTATGGCAGCCTCCAACTGTGGGTTATAGCACTCCCTGTAATCTCTTCACTACTGTGTATTGCAGCTCTCCCCACAGGCTACCTTCTATGCTAGGACTTTTTAGGGGAATGGAAGTCTGAACTTGAGTAATCTCCCCTAGTCAGAGCTGCCATTCCCAGCCCTTTTATCAACTGTAAAAGAGCAACATGGCAGGAGTGGAGACCTCACCCCAGATCTCCATTGAATTTACTTTTTTCATGTCTATAGTGTTTAAAAAAAGATCTTTTAAAAATCAAAATTATTACATTTGCTGAGCTGAGGGTGAGTTTAGAAGTGACTTAAGCTTAGAATCATAGAATCAAAGGACCTGAAGAGACCTGTAAGATCATCAAGTCTGGTCCCGTGCCATGGGCAGGAAGTAATTGAGCTCAAACAAGCTCAACAAAGTGCATGTCCAGCCTCCTCTTGAACATTTCTAAGGATGGCGGTTGTACCACCTCTGCTGGGAGTGTGTTCCAGATTCTAGTTACCCTTACGGTAAAGAAGTTTTTCCTTTATGTCCAGCCTAAATTTTTTCTCAATTAACTTGCCCATTGGTCCTCGTCCTCCCAAGGGGTGCCATTCTGAAGAGTTGCTTACCTAGATCTTGATGTTCACCTCTGACATACTTGTAGATTCATAGATTTATAGATATTAGGGTTGAAAGGGACCTCAGTAGGTCATTGAGTCCGACCCCCTGCCCTGGGCAGGAAAGAGCGCTAGGGTCAGATGACCCCAGCTAAGTGCTTGTCCAGTGTCCTCTTGAAGATCCCCAAGGTAGGGGAGAGCACCACATCGCTTGGAAGCCCATTCCAGATTCTGGCAGCCCTTACTGTGAAGAAGAACTTTCTAAAGTCCAACCTAAATCTGCTCTCCGTCAATTTATGGTCATTATTCCTAGATCACAGAATCATAGATGTAGGGTCGGAAGGGACCTTGTAGATCTTCAAGTCTGAACCCCTGCCTGAACAGGCGAAAAACTGGGCTCAAATGACTCCAGCCAGGTAGGCATCAAGCCTCTTCTTAAAGACCCCCAGGGTAGGAGCCAGCACCACTTCCCTTGGAAGTTGGTTCCAGATCCTAGCCGCCCTAACTGTGAAGTACTTCTTACGGATGTCTAATCTAAACCTACTCTCCAACAACTTGTGGCTGTTATTCCTTGTTATGCCAGGGG